TTTAAAATCTCTAGATCTCTAGATGATCTAGATGGAAGTAATAACATGTAGGTAATTAAAAAAAATAATGAATAATAAAGAAAAACTTTGTCGTTCTTTGCTTTCGAGTTTCGAGTATGATTAGGGTTGCCATCCGTCCTCTTTTCCCCGGACACTGTCCCCTTTTTTAGGGCGGGGATATCCGGGGGGATTTTTTGAAAGCATCCGGGATAATTACAAACATCCGGGGTTTCAAGAAATCTTCTAAATATTTTGTTTTGATTCCTCTCGCATTACTCTGCATTACCAAATAGCACAGATATCACATAAAAGATAAAATAAAATAATATTTTAATTACATAAAATTTTTTAATTTTAATATCTAATAAAACTTAAACTAAACTTATAATAAAACTTTTCATTTTAAATCAAAATAGTCTGTATTTATTTAGTATCCAATTCAAATTTCTCTTTACTCTGAATGCTAATGAACAATTAGATGTGAAATAATGATTCATTTTTTTTGTTCTAATCAATTTTATTAATTTAAGCGCATTTTTGTCCGGGGTTGCAACCGAAATATCCGGGGTTTTTGACTTATAAGTCCTAGTTTTGAAAATCTTAATATGACAACCTTAAGTGTGATCATATTGCGATTAATATTCATTGATGTTCATCAATGTGGATTAATTTTAATTTTGGTTTAACTTACTTTTCCCCTTTTTTTAATTTAAAAATTAGGAAAAGATGAAGAATATATTTAAATCAAGATATATTTAAATTTAATCTACATCGATAGAAATTGACATGAGGCGAGTTGTTCATTCGCGCTCGTTCTCGCTTGCTCGGATTGGAGTCGCTTTTGTACCCGGATTTTGGAGGAGCAAAAGATTCGATTTGCGTCGGAGAGTAATTACGGTGTTATAGGATTTCAGGGACGCCTCGTTTACGGCTCTGTTAATGAGCCATCACGTCGCGTCGCGTCGCGTCGCGTCGCGTCACGTCACATCGCCTTCTAAACCGCTTCGCGGCCACTGCGCTTCCTACGTCGTGGACTCCTACTCACTACCGTCATCGGGAAGAAAAGCAGGGCCGAGAACATGTGGAGGCACTCTCGACAGGAACGTCGTAGTATCGACTGGCCAATCGCCGGTCGTGCCGAGCTCACGCCATGCGCGACGTCGGCGCCGTCGTGTGAATCCATTCTCCTTTCGGACGTCGAGCCAAGCGTTTTCGATCCGTCGACGCGTGACGACGCTTTGTTGACTTTCCCCGACGCAAAAGAGACCGACGGCGTAATTAGCACGGGAGGCGTGCCGCGGCGGGCATCCAGATTCTTAGGATCAGACGAATATTTAAAATTAACTCCGTGAGTTATTGCCATGGATGAAAAGAAGACTCGCGGAAAAGTTCGATCTGAAGTTTCATCCGTCATCTTGAACTTCATTACACAATTAATTAAAAAATATAAAGAACAGACTCTTTCAGATACTCTTTTAGAGATATTTTTTTTTTTTAAAGAAAAGAAAAAATAAATTACAGATAATCTTTCGACTGTGAATCTGAATAAGGTTTTACTTAGAAAAGTATTATTGAAGAAAGAAGCAAAGAGGCAGGAAGAAATGGGATAGGATAAAAAAGAAAGAGGAGGATTAAGCTTTATGATTAATTTCCACATTACAACGTGTCTCGTGGCAATCTCAGCCCGGTACATCCATTTCTTCCACGTTTTTCTTTTTTGTCATCTGTTCTAATGGCTTAGAACTCTTCCGTAAAAAATTAAATAAAAAGAAAAGATAAATGCATAAAGAAATAATGAACACTGATGTAGTCATTTTGACGAATAAAAATATATGAATGTATCTCAGAGCAATGGACTAATTTTAAACTTAAAATTAGATTTAAAACTGTAAATTTTGTTGTAATTGAATTACTAAATCGAAAAACGACAGAAAACTGCAATGTGTTTTATCTAGCTGTGAGATCATCCTCTAGCTGTGATATCTTTCGATTTCAATTTTATGTCGCGTCGAACTTCCATCATTCTCATCGTGATATGCAATCGACACGGCACGACCAGAGGGATCCGACGAAATGCAATAAAAAAGAAAAACGCAGTCCGTAAAAGTTATTTATAACAGCGACGCGCGGCTTTTCGCGATCGAACGACGACGTGCCGCGCCGCGCCGCGACGCGACACTTTCCGTAATCGAGAAGCGTGATACGTGCATGGATTAAAGAAACCAGCGAAACGTGAAAAACTTCCGCACGCGGATGTGCATATCGACCGTTTTTCCGTGTCCTCGTTGTGTTAGAATTGCGTGCACAATTGCGAGCGACATAACCGCTGCACAAAAGGCACGAAAGGTGACCGTTTTTTCTACGCGCTCGTTACATGTCTTTAGAGAATTAAGCATTAAAGATGTATTACACCCATTTTTATTTACAATGAAGAAATTATAAATTCTTTTAGATGAAACAGATAGTAGTATAGAATTAAATTTTTATTTACAGAACAATTAATTTCTGCATCACAGTGAAATTTTTTTTATATAAATAATCCTAAATATTTAAAAGTAATACACAAATTTTCTAGTGGTTTAAAATTTAGATAAAATTTTTTAAACATAAAGTAGAAATGTGTTTTAATAAAAATGTAATTGAAAAATAATGACAAAAATTTCAATTTTTTTATATAAATATTTTAAGTATTCAAGATGATTTGATGTGTAAAGTTTTATTATGCAGAGATTAATTGTTTTGTAAATAAAAATTTTTATTAAGAGTACAAATGAAATAGATAGTAATATAAATAAAATTAAATTTTTATTTACAGAACAACTAATTTCTGCATCATAGTGAAATTTTTTTATATAAATAATCTTGAATATTTAAAATACTAGTATAAAAAATTGAGATTTTTATCATTATTTTTTAATTACATTTCCATTAGAGCACACTTTATTTATTTATTTATTTAAGTAATTTTTGATCCCAACTCTAAGCTGCTTTTTCATGTTAATTTTTAAATGTGATTTAAGATAATCGCATGTAAGTTTCTCAGAATTTCTTCATTGTAAATATAAAAATTATAAAAATGTAGATGTAATACATTTAAGCGTGCAATACATGATCTTATATAGTTTATCTTCTTCTTCGAACAGATGAAACGCTTGTAAATAACATGTACGAAATAAATATTGTTACTTCGGGGACTCTCGACGGCGATTGTCAGATTATTGAGTTATCTTTTGCGGTTTATCGATCTTTCCCGATATAACGTTGGACTTCGATGAATTTATGGCTACAATATGTTTTCGGTACGTCCGTGTACGTTCTCAATTGGAATGGGATATGGCGTATGCGAGAGCAATCCGCGAAATTTGCCCTTCGCAATCGTCGTTCCTGATCATTTATCGTTATTTGATAATCGGAAGAACGTAATGTGATGCTGGCGGAAGTTACGAATCATGTCGCGCTCTTCGCGCACGATAACATACATTTGCATACGCAAACTTTGATTGATAGCCTCGTGAATCATCGAGGGATTAAGCCTTTATCTTAACAATGACAAACTGCTTTCTGCTACTGTAAACACATTGCCAGAAACCGGCAGGAGGAACAATACGTATTTTGAATAAATTGCAAGACGTCGCAAATGTTGCAAATGTTAATTTCGAAAATACTCCGAAACGCACGCAATACACATCTGCGCAAAGTCTGCGCAAAGTCTGCGCAAAGTCATACAATCTGCATGGAATGCCAACAATAAACACACAAAAAAAAAGATATGGTTTTTATACGCTTTATATTATATATGAAAAAAAGCGAATAAACTATGCGATTCACTTTTCAATAGTGCTTACATTGGTGTGTATTGATATTTAATTGGACGATAATTGATATGTCTTGATTATAAATATGTATTATTAATGTTCTCGCACGAGTCATGATTCAAGTACTCACAGACTCGCCGACAAGCCGAGCGTAATGCAAATTGCTGTTTTCTAAATATAGAGTCAACTGCGCGGTTACCGTCGTTAAGATTGGTCTTATCTGCTGAATGGTAGCCGGACATTGTCTTCGCGGCCAGCGGTTTCTAGGTTCGCCCGTCGTTAGTCCCGGCAGAAGCAAGAAGATAATAATACAAAGTGCTACTCTGTTAGCTACCAACCGAATGCCGGTTTAATCGAAAATGTATGATGCGAACATCATGTGCTTTGATATTTCGTTAGCGGCCCTTTTTCCCTCTTGTCGATGATAAATTATACTGCAATCACCTGATCGCTCTGGTAAGAAGAAAGAGGGTGAACATGAGAGAGATACGCGAAGACTTCGCGACTGATGTTACACGCGTCGGAGACATCGAATCGGACGTCGTTTTTAACGGATCGTGTGACTCACAAGTTATCTTTGCGCGTTATTCTTGTTCTGTCATATTGCGTATCAAATCGATGACCCAGTTCGAAATAGGGGCCGACCGAAAGTTTCCCGTTTCGAGATGAGCCAGAAATTTAAATCGACATCTCCTCGAAAGCTTCTTCGAGTTACTCGTGTCGCATTCCGATTTCTCCATTCGTCTTTACACACATCAATTCGCGCCTCATTCGTGCGATCGTCGTCCGAGTAATTGTTTACAACCGGCGCGGCGTTCGCGACGTTTGTACGCACAACTTGCGATATATACTGCGCATATTAGATCCGGTGTACGAACATACGTTAGGTACGTGTGTACGAAGCTGGCGGAACGCCAAAGGTGAGCTCCTTGAGCATTCACTTTTCCACGCGACGCGATTGCCATTCATAGATATATATTGAGAGAGTGTCTTGTGCGATTAATTCCCTCCTCGTTTTCCCACCCACCCACCCACCCATTCCATCGATCTTTCTCTCGTTCGATGTATTCAGAAATTCATGATTAATTCGCAATCTGTCTTGTTTTGCCACGCGGGAATGATAATCGCGAAATATTTCTCTGCCATTCATTTCCTTAACAAGGCGTACTTTGTTCTGCTTCGCAGGAGGGCGAATCTCTGGAGAAAAACACGGATTGGATCTACGAGTGGAGCTCTCGACCGGACCAGGCACCTCCAAAGTACGACTAATAAATCTCTTAATTTTGACATTAATGATTAATGATTAATATACATTAATGATTAATATACGAGGATGTAGAAAGAAATAATTCTATGCTTTTTTAGATGATTATCTATCTATTGTATTTAATTACTGTAATTTTCCGTCATTAGAGTGTATCGAGCATAAATATTACTACATGCTACATTCTATAATTAATTCTGTTTCGTAAAAAAGTTTTCTTTTACATCATAAAAGTTTTCTTTATAGAATATTTACTTATAAAATATTTATATATACTTAACGGTCTTGATGGATTCTCTTAACGTGCTGTAGAGACTGGAAGTTCAAACACCCCTTGGGCAGTAAGAGGAAAACGTACAGCATCCGCACCGCAAAGGTTGGCAAGAACGGATTGTTTTCCAAGGAGGTCATTTACACTCTATTCTTCACGAATCTTTTGTCTCTGCTCATTGGAACCGGTCTAGGGTAAGATTATTTATCAAAAACAAATTAAATTTTTTTGATGCTTAAATGCTGCTTACGATTATTGATTGCAATCAATGAAATAGTACTAAAATTTTAAATCGAGTATATTAATGTATATTAATTATTATTAATCTTATTTTATTATTATTATTATTATTATTATAATAAAATTTTTTATTATCAATATAATTAAACATGCATTGATTCCAATTCTTAATTGTAAATTTATGATATTGGATTATTATACAACTGTACATGTAATTTACTATTTTGATCATTTGACAATATTAATCTTATTTATTTTTGCGTAGCGTTTTGCTCACCAGGCGAGGTTTGATGATGTCCCGCGTCGCCATTGAATGAAGGGTACGACTCCGGGTGTGTCATCAAGATTGTCACGGTTAAATCTGCGCGGAGAGGAAGGGCTAGAGACGCAAGAAAGACTGAACAAGCCGGTGGGCGATCGAGCCTAAAAACAGTTACACGCAGCACATAATTCGATTGTCCCGATTTATAATATTAGCACTTTGTATTATACATTAGCACATTTACTCCCCCAAACCCTTCAACGGTGTACTTCTCAGAAATTGCATATATCACGTATAAATTATACGCGCATCATATGCTTAGGAAAAGGGAAAGCTAAGGAAAAGGGAAGAAAAAGTTAGAAAAATGGAGTCTATCATATATAACTTAGAATTGTTGGAACGAACTGGAAAATGAAACATGTCCATTTTATACCGTTTCTAATGCGTTTCTATCTGCGATAGTTTTTAGCTTGAATAGTATTTATCAGAAACTAATTATTGTTAGAGTGGAAAGAAAGGAAGCGAGACTGAGAGAGCGAGAAAAGGAATGAAAGGGAGAGAGAGAATGAGTGATTGTTGTACCGTCATGTGTTGGTGAAGAAAGTTTAAAATTTATTGATGAAAAAAGATCAGGATTTATCAATAAGAATCCCGAGAACGTTGCACAACTCGTCCTGTTTATACGAGTTATGGGAAACTTGTTGCAAGTGAGCGAGTTTTAACGTTGTGATTTGTTACGATAATGAGAAGAGGAATGTATGTCATGTCCAGATAAATTCAGATATCAATTATAATAAGGTGATGTCGACCGATTATTCCTTTTTTAATTAATGCGCGGCGATTGTGATGATCATCGTCTTGATGGTAAGGAATAGAGTTCCTAAGGAAGTACCGATGCTTGACGTCCACCGTCTCGACGCCGACTATAAGTGATAGCCGGAAGGAGGGACCACAAGAGGGAGTAGACTTGTTTGCGAATGACGAGAATCCTTTTTTGGCGCGGCGCTTTTGTACGACATCTTAATATGCGGTTTTGTAATTTCCTTGTAATAAATTCACATACGAATTCACATGCAAACAAATGTGTTTTGTCGTCTTTTATCTAAGATGGTCAACCCGACCGCGACGTAATCATTGCATGTGTTTCCGCGGTCCTGCGGTTTCGATATCGAGAAGAAATGGTCAAATAAGGAATTAATGGTTAAATCTGTTTTCTCAAGAATTTCAAGGCAAGCCTCGATCTTAATAATCGAAAAGAAAAAACTTGAAAAATAAAATTAGTTTTTTATATTCTTAAGAAATTAGATTACTATTGAAAATAGATAACTTTTTTTTTATTGAATCTTTCAATTTAAAGCTAAATTCTTTTTGTCGACAAACATTACTTAATACTTGGTTAATGATTATTAGCTGTAATTATAGCCGATATCATAATCTATTCTTATATTTAAGATCGTCTTAAGATTACATTTAATAAGATGGCCATACAAGTTTACTTAAAATGGCTTTAAATATAAGAACGGATTATGAATATTGGCCTATATGTTACAGAAACACTTTGATCTTGCGTGTGTTATGAGAAATTTACTTGAATTTGTTTCGCGAGAGTATGGTACGTATTTTTTTAGTAACAGGAATTTTTATCTCGTGAACTTTCTCGCGCTTATGATTTTGTACTTTGTATGAGGAAGAAGATAGATGATCTAAGAATTATTAGTTTATGAACAATAATTAGAAATATGCACAAGCGACGTCGCAACGTATTCTTTTGAGTTTCGAGACGAATATTAATTAAATGTGACAGATGAAAATGCATCACTCGTGTTAGTGATTTAAATAAACCACATTCATACATTTAGATAAATTAAAGAATATTAGAAATTGTGCGTAAATCTTTTCTTATTTGAAATTAGCAGCACGAACTTTCGATTTTGCGTGGATTGACAGATTTTCTTTCCGTATTCTTTTAATTAAGTCGCATTATTTAATTTGCAGTGATGTTGTTCGACGTATTTTTTACAAATAATTATTTTGTAATATTGTATGTATATCATATGCATAATAATAATCATATTCTATATGTAGCATGGCGTTTGATGACTTCTTAGCGTCGTCAGGCACTTGATTCTTTTTCGAAGTTTGCTATTTGTTCTTTGCCAAAACTGAAATTTTTATTATGGGTGATTTATACACAAACGCTACGAAATAAAGAGTTTTGTAAATTTATACTTGTAACGGTATATTTCATTTCTATAAAAATTTTACATTTTGTGAAGTTGTTACTTTTCTATGTATGTACAATACCTCGAATCACAAACATCAAAAGTCGAACTGGAAATTAAACTCTAGACAATTTCAGTATAAATAAAGCGTACAAATTAAAGTACGAAATTAACCTTTTCCTCTCAATCATCTAAAATATTGAGATAATGTTGAAAGTAAGAGATGCATCAAATGAATCTTTCTGTATCGGACAACAAGTCAATCGACGAGACATACGAAAGTAATGTGAAAGTATTTGTGCGAATTTTACCGCTCGAGAAAATATGCGATTCTTACGCAAAGATCAATGCGGACAGTAAGGTGAGATTAATGTAAATTTTCCTAACATTAAATTAAGATATTCCGAGTTGAGACGATATTGTATTCCACTCAATATTACGAATCTTAGGCGCCGGTTTGTGCTCGAAATTTGTGCGTTTTTGTTGCTACTGTTATTCTTTATTGTCACGTCTCATAGTTCGTTTCAAGACATTTATTATTCGTCGATTATTAACGTATTAAGCATTAATTAAATTATAATATTTAGACAATATACGTGAGATGTTTGCAAGATTTGCAACGAGAAAAACAGTCGATGGGTTCGTATCCCATGTATTGGGTCTTTCGAACCAATGGGATATTTCACGAGACATCCCAGGAAAAAGTGTATCATGCCACCGCAAAAGATTTCTTCGAAAAGTATCACTTTATATTTAAAATCGGCAATGACGATATTCCATATTGCGTCAGTTATATAATCAATTTATTTAATGTTATTTAATATTGGGAAAATTAGCTTATTATATATTAATTATGCATTAATTTTTTTATTAATCTAATGTCAAATGTGCAGCTAAATCATGAAATTTATTTTTAAACACACATTTAACATACACGACGAATTATTGATATTATATTATTGATAGCATACATTAGGAAAATTTAGCAAAAAGTTAATGAAAATTTATTAAGCAAAGAGACAAATATTAAAAAGTAATTTTCAATTATTAATCTAAGCATAATTAAAGATTAATCTGATTTTTAAGGAGAAAATGAAAAAATATATAATTAGATTAGTTCAACTCAATAATCAGTAATTAATAACACTTGACTGATAAGATATGGAATGTCATGCTATGTCTATAAAAATAAAATGAACATGTGTAATAGCAACATGGCGAATAATTTAAGAGTTTTAGATGGTATAAATTGTGTATTGATCGGCTACGGTCAAACCGGATCCGGAAAGAGTTTCACAATAAGCGGTCTTAGAAATAATTGGCAAGTATGCTTCTATATTTCATATATTATTTAGATATCAATTAATCGATTATTTTGATCGCTCCATTTATTGACTTAGCATAGAGGAATAGTCCCGCGACTGTTGGCTGACATGTTTGCGGAAAAGACAAATCGAAGAAAAATCAATGATATATGCTATCGTTTAAGTTTCCTCGAGCTGAGAGGTAAAAACATAATCGATCTTCTCACGACGAAAAAACAAAGGATATTTAATATTAAAGAACGTGATGTCTTCAAGGTATCGTGGTATGGAATTATGTTCTGGAAAATTCTTCAATATGCAGAAACTTATTTGTATATTGTTATAATAGCTAATCAGATAATTTTTTATTTTCCATCAAGATATAATGTTACATTAAAAAAAATTACTTTTACGCCTTACTTTTATGCCTTCTGAATCATGTAGAAACACGTGTCGTTTATATATTTAAAAAATAATATAATAAGAAAGAAGTTTCGACATAAACAATGTAAAAATTAAATAATAATTATTATTCCAGAATATAACTATGGTGAATGTGGAGAACGAAGAGGAAGCTTTGAGAAAAGTACTTGAAGGAGAAATCAGGAGATCGATTACGAAAAGTGCAATGTATCCGGTATCACATTTGGGTGCTGCTGTGATCACAATTCATGTTTCAAACGCGAGCTTGATAAAATCGCAAGCCATCATAGCGACGGCAAAAGTAATTTCATTAATTCGACATTTTTAAATCTTGAAATTTTTTTATATTTTAAATATTTTTGCACGATAATTTTTAAGAAATTTAAGAAAAATTTTTTGTACCATTTTATTAAAAAATCAAAATATCTAAAATGTTAAATTTAATCTTATTAAGATATGTAATATGTTTTTTTTATTTAAAAAACTAAAAAATATATAATTATATAAATAAAAATATATAAAACATAATTTTAAATATAAAAAAAATATATAATATATAAATAAAAATATATAAAACATAATTTTAAATATATTAAAATATATTTAAATATTTTGAATAAAATATTTGTGATTTTTTGTGAGCAAATTTATAAAGAAATCCTAATATCTTAGCCTAATATCTTAGAAGAAAAATTATGAGTTTAATTTTACGGATCGATATTAGATACATATCGTAGAAATGGCTGGAATTGGCACGGTTGGAAAGTCGGATTGTTGGAAAACAGCAGCCGACTTGGGTATGGCGAATTTAATGAAAACACAGCTGGAACAATATTTCCTTTATCTTAGAGAACCAAATGTATGCAAAATGTATAGCATTGTTCGCTCAAATAATTTGCTGAAATTATTGAGAGACGCCCTCACCGTCACATCTGTCATTCGGTACACATAATGAATGCAAATCTGAAATTGAAATAGCGCAAGTTATTTTTCTCTTACTAATTTAAATTAAATTCAGCACTTTTCTACATAACTTTTCAAATATAAAGACAAGTTAAGTATTAAATAAAATTATATATACATAGTGAACATAAATAATAAATGAAAATTATTTTTAATTTACAATTTAAATTTCAATGTTTTCAATTAAGTTTTTAATTTGACTATCGAATGTTAACATATTTTTATGATGTTCCGCTTGATTAAAAATTAAATATTTTATATTTGTCAGCTTTATATCTCACGTGCGTATCACAAAAGAAGATCTCAACGTGACTCTGTCGACTATGCGATTGACTGCTAAAATCTCGAAATTAAAGCCGATTAAAATAGTACGGCACATTCAGCCGCAAATGGAATTGATCCTGCAACAATTACGAAAGGAAGTAGATATATTGAAGAAAGAGCTTGAGCTGAACGACATGTTTCTACATCAGGAAGCACTGGCAAATATTTCGGAATCCAGACTCGAGCAGATTAGGCGAGATATCATGAACTTTTTGCAGGGTTCTATTTCGGAATTAACGCTCTTCAATGTCACCCAGGCACGAGTATTGATGAAGATCACTAAACAATTATATGACAAGTTCGTTCTCTTGATATTTCGCATGCTTCGATCAGATTTTAAATTTCAATCTGCATATCTTAATTTAATTAATAAATCTGTTAACAACAATAACATATGAATTTTGTCATAACCACTCCGTATTTATGATAAATATTCTTTTTATCATGTCTTTTTCGAAGTTAATAAAGACACAAAAAATTGATTTAATAATTGTAAACGCAGTTAAAATTTTATAAAGAAATTTTGATCTTTTTCTAAACTTTTTAGATTGCATGCAAAAGAATCAAAGATTGAAACAGAGAAGCTAGAAGAAATGTTCAATATGATTACTGCGTTGACATAATGCCGTTTTGACTTAATCACAATAAAAAATAGTTTGACTATGTATAATGCTGCATATCATAATTTATAATAATTTTGTGGATGTAATTTGAAATTCAAATATTATGACTTGTATATTTTGCTCATTTTCTTTCTCATTCTTATCTTTATTTTATATGTTAATACGAACGATATTAATGATCAAACAAATAAAAATATTTATTGACTTGTATCGCATAATCAAACATTTATTATAACAAAATAACTAAATTAAATATTTGTAAAAAGAATAAATGTCATATCAAAATTGTCAAATAGTATTGACAATGAGTCAATATATGAATATACAAAATAAATAAGAATTTTGAATAAATATTTAATTTGATATGATAGCGTTATCTTTTTAACAAAACTAAAATGTAATTTCCAAAGCAAGTTTTAGAAATAACAATTACATCAATAATGAACTTTTTAGAATGTCAAACGCAATAAATTAATAAGAGGGCAAGAGTCATGGTGTTCTGTTATGCTACGATTAAGTTTTACATAAATTGTCAATTCCAAAATACATCAATCAACAACATGAATATCATTAATATATATAAAACGCAAAAGAAACCAAATTCTAGATGTTTCGATTCATTTGCAACAATCAAATAACAAAAAGTAAAAATTTACAAATTAAGAAAAAAATGTGTAAAAACTGTCGATAAAAAAATTCTTGTGATCAGGACAATTCAAGATTCGAAAAAGATATGTCGTTTACAACTTTTGCAAAGCCGAGTGAAATTCGTATTCTAAAAGTCAAAAATGCATAGAAGTAATCAGTTCACCGTAAAATACACAACATTACTTCTTGATAGTCAAATAGGATGGTCAATTATTAAAATCGTTTAGTTTTTCGACGGTCAATAATTGAGATAACGTATTGCCTCAAAAATTGAAGTAACATTGAACTTATCAAGATGACAGATTATCTGATGTCTTTGAACCCGAGGAGGAGTTAACAAAATATTTATAATCTATTTAGGAAAAAATAAATAAATTTTAAAAAGTTTATCTGCAGATTTTTGAATTATTTTTATCAATATCTCATTCCTAAAATATCGTTCATTTTTTCGAGAGGATAAACGTATCTTAAATATACATTTATAATTGGTCTTGGAACAATTCTTAAAATGATTAATCTGTTATTATTGTTGGCATGATCGTTTTTCACTTGTTTTGCGTACAATCTGTGTACAGTAGATGTAATAATTTTCTTATCACTTGAAGATATTTGCTTCTGAGTCAAATGCCTTGCATATATTTAGTTATACGTATATCATAATTATATAAAATTATCATCTCGAAAAGGTAAAAAAAAATAAAAAGTTGCCAAGTATATCATCTTTGAAAAGTATTGAAAAATTAATAGTATTGAAGAATTAATGAAATATCATGATAATTTATAAATTAAAACGCTTGTATAAAGATTTTAATTTTCTAAAAAAGTAACGAGATTTGAAAAAATGCACTAAATATAATTTTGATATTAAAATAAGTATTTATTATATAAACATCTAACATTATAATGAATTTAGTTAGTTTAGAGTAAAATTTACAATTGTACACACACACACACACTGTCGCGAGCGCCGAGAACGCAATCACGCTCACCGCTGACAAAGCGGATTGCGACAAGCGATACTTTATCCGACGAATTATTATTTTACCAAGTGATAGCGATTACCAACGCTACCGTGCTAATCGCGCAAATATTGTATATGTAATCGTTCCACGTGAAGCAACTGCTAACCGGGTTGCGCGGCCCTTACGCGGAAAACCGCCGCGCGACCCAAAAATATACCGCGAACGCTGACGAACATGTTGATGACACGGCAAGGACCGGCCGCCTGGAACAGGATAAAAACGGAAGACGATACTAGGAGAACACTCGTCGAGATCCGCCGTGCCGTCACGTCTGTCGCGGTCCGAATTAAAAAGGACAATCTGTATCAAGTGTTAATAAAGTTTATTTAGTATCGAATAAAGTGGTGAGTGCCTCTTTCCCGCCGATTCCTTGATCGATCCCCGAAACGACCCGCACAACATTTCTGGTGGCAGCGGTGGGATCGTTTCGCAGCTACACCCAGTCATCTGGAAGGAACAAACGATCGGAATTCAAGGAAAAGGCCGGAAAAGAAGTCGACATCCCTGCGGCGAGAAAGAGCCGGTAGAGCCACAACGCAGAGCATATCAGTGACACCGGAGAAGCCACGACCTACCGCAACAGCCAGCGCCACGTCACAAACTTGCGAGCGTAATGTAAGTCATAGAAAATTAAGCCAAGCGCATTAGATAGCGAGAGAAGCGTATAGGTAGATGTCGAACGAGGGAGTTAACCAAACTCCTGCCCAAAGAAACACGTCGTGGCTACATAGTGCGTCAGCCAGCCGAGCGCTCAGCCCGAGCCCTCCGAGCTTTGAGCAGACGGAAAATTCACGCGATCCGCGCGATAACGTACGCCGCGATTTAAGTAATTATTATTCCGACGATAGTCTGACGAGTCAACCGGAATTACATCCGAACATTGTAATTGAACGCGTGTTTTCGCTTAGTGACATAGATAATAGCCTACTACCGAGTAGTGAGAGACGCGACGACGCTCTATTACAACCAACAGACGCAAGATCTGACCATAGCGACGGCACGAATGCAAGTAACCCTAGCCGCGGAGAATTTTCATTGACATCTTACGATAGTAGCGTGTTCGATCCAACCGAATTTTACACCGCTTCACGAAACATAAATCCAGCGGAAATGACAAATCAACCCTCGGGCACACCGTTAAAATCGATCGCGGAAGAACAACAAGTAGTAAACAAAGAATTGGACGACGAAGTAAAAAGGATGAGAGCCACTTTAAGCCAGGCACACTGGAAATCTGACCCGGCGGAATCTTCGCACGACGCGCGAGATGCAATGTTGGTCGAATTGATAGAAGGCATGCGAGCACTATAGGGCCGCATAAGCCAACTAGAAGTCATTAATTACGATCGGAGTGCAGAAAATGACGAACCGATAGAAATGACATACGGGCGTACACGGGACGATGTCCGAAATTCGCGAGATCCCGCACATACGTTTATGAAACTGAAAGAAGCCCGCGATATGATTCCGGAAATGGACGGATCATCGCGGAACCAAGTTCAAAAATTTTTAGATGCAAGCACGTACGCGATGAGCGAAATAAATCCTGCCGACGAAAAATCATTATTAAAAGCGATCTTGTGCACGAAACTAACAGGGAAAGCCATGCACGATTTCCAAACAAGGGATATACGCACGTTCATGCAACTGAAACGCGAGATCGAGATGTGCTATTTGGCAAAGCGTAGCACTACGCACATTCAGCGAGAGTTTAATATAACCCGTCAAAAACCTGGGGAAAGCGCGCGAGAATACGGACTCCGCGTTGACAAACTAGCAATGGAACTCTACCAATCTATGGTAGAAGGACACGAGCACACCGCGGAACAACGAAAGGCAATCCTAGATACGATACAAGAATTAGCTCTAGAAAATTTCCAACTAGGATTACGTGACGAGATACAAACAATAGTACGATCCAGGAACTATACGAATTTAACAGTCAAGATGCTAGGCGCGACAGCCGAAGAAAAATTAAAAGGTAGCCAACCTATAAAAATGTACACTAATGAGAAAGCTAGAAGCAACCAAGAACAGTATAGAAACCGCAATCAAAAACTGGAGTGCCACAAATGCGGTAGGCTAGGACATTTGGCGCGCGACTGTCGTTCAAGCCGATACACAAATAAATATCCGCTACCGCGAGCCGAACGACCGGCGAACGTAAATAATATCGAGAAATACTGCTCGTACTGCAAAAAGGCAGGTCATAAGCGCGACGAATGTTGGTCACTGAACGGCCGCCCGAGAAAGGGGCAGCCGAGACGCACGAGACAAGATAATGAAAAAGGGCGACAAATAAATACCGCTGTAATAATGAGAAAGAATAAGCAGCAAAGGGGGAGCGATGACCTATCGTTCACAAGCAGTGGCGACGACGAAGAAGAAGAGAAACCGAGAACAAAGATAACGCGAACCGTACGCGAGCATCAAGTGACACAGGTGAATACGCCTCACACAAACGCCACGTTAGATTTGATTACCCTGCCGATGCGAGAGACAAAAAAAGGAAAAACAAGTTTCCTCCTCGATACAGGCGCCACTTTGACATTAATAAAAGTAGGAAATCTAAAGGGAAACACACTAATGCGCGAAGAGTGTTTAGTCCTAACCGGAGTTACGGGCCACAAGATACACACACTCGGAAAGATATGAGCAACGATAACGCTAGGAGACCGAGAGATACGGCACACTATGTATGTGGTAAGAGACTTCCCACTAAATTATGAAGGGATACTGGGACTAGACTTTTTGAATAAACAGCAAGCGAAATGCGATCATGGGAAAAAACAAGTCCGTATTGGCAACACAACTTTCAAACTCTACCCGTACAAGAAAACCATGCTAACGCCTCGCAGTGAAACCATAATTCAGGCAGTAACCGATCGGAATAGCATTGGAATAGTAAATGCAGTCGAAACCAAACTCGGAGTTTTCATAGGAAATTGTTTGGTCATACCAGAAGAAAACGTATGTCCAATAAGTGTGATAAATATCACGGGAGA